AGTCTACAGGTCACAATTTTTATCCGATTTCAATGAAACTTGAAATATAGGTTTGTCGCCCTAAGATCTCGGTTCCTTTGGATATTGGCATCTATCGGACCGTAACTTCATGGATTATGGCCCCTGATTGTACGAAAAATCACGTTTTTGACTTTTTTTGGCTTGTGGACCCTATAGAGGTCATAATTTTTATACGATTTAAAAAAACCGTGTTAATATATCACCGTTACACCCTAAGGACGGCTGAGTTCGAATTTCGTGGAAATCGGCCCAAAACTGACAGACAAAATGGCCGCCGTTCGTTCTCAAATAGCGTAAAAATATGGTATATCAAGGTTGTGGACCCTATAGAGGTCACAATTTTTATCCGATTTTGTTGAAACTTGCAATGTAAGTTTATAACCAAAAGATCTCGGTTCCTTTCGATATTCGCGCATATCGGACGGTAACTTCCTGAATTATGGCCCCTGATTGTACGTAAAAACGCGTTTTTTGGCTTGTGGACCCTATAGAGGTCATAATTTTTATCCGATTTAAAAAACCGTATTATTGTATCACCGTTAAACCCTAAGGACGGTTGAGTTCGAATTTCGTGAAAATCGGCCCAAAACTGACAGACAAAATGGCCGCCGTTCGTTCTCAAATAGCGTAAGAATATGGTATATCAAGGTTGTGGACCCTATAGAGGTCACAATTTTTATCCGATTTTGTTGAAACTTGAAATGTAAGTTTATAACACAAAGATCTTGATTCCTTTCGATATTCGCGCATATCGGACTGTAACTTAATGAATTATGGCCCCTGATTGTACGCAAAAACGCGTTTTTTGGCTTGTGGACCCTATAGAGGTCATAATTTTTATCCGATTTAAAAAACCGTGTTAATATATCACCGTAACACCCTAAGGACGACTGAGTTCGAATTTCGTGAAAATCGGCCAAAAACTGACAGATAAAATGGCCGCCCTTCGTTCTCAAATAGCGTAAAAATATGGTATATCACAGGTTACAATTTTTATCCGATTTTGTTGAAACTTGAAATGTAAGTTTATAACCCAAAGATCTTGGTTCCTTTCGATATTCGTGCTTATAGGACCGTAACTTACTGAATTATGGCCCCTGATTGTACGAAAAATTGCGTTTTTAGCTTGTGGATCCTATAGAGGTCATAGTTTTTATCCGATTTAAAAAAAAACGTATTATTATATCACCCTAAGGACGACTGAGTTCAAATTTCGTGAAAATCGGCCCAAAACTGACAGACAAAATGGCGCCCCTCGTTCTCAAATTGCGTAAAAATATGGTATATCAAGGTTGTGGACCCTATAGAGGTCACAATTTTTATCCGATTTTGTTGAAACTTGAAATGTAAGTTTATAACTCAAAGATCTTGGTTCCTTTCGATATTTGCGCATATCGAATTGTAATTTCCTGAATTATGGCCCTTGATTGTAGGAAAAATCACTTTCGTTTTAGCTTGTTTTCTATCCATCTCTCGAAAATGTGGGCGTATCCTGCCTGGCAGCCGCTGATTAACCAATCAATGACCAAGCCTCTGGTTTTCTCTGGATGTTTTAAACATCCACCAATTGAATTCCTACAAAATAACTGGGCGTATTATTCGGAAATTCAAGCCTTTAAATTCGTGGACAATCGTTAAGTCTTCACTTGAATAAATTATACTTTTAACCCCAATATTGGAACTCTGATTTCTTTTCAAAGGGACAAAATCGCACGTTTATAATACTGTAGGACACAGGCTGCGCTTATTGACATCAGTATTTATGAGCCGACCATTGTATAGAAACATTTGTAAATTTTCATGGAGAGGTATTGAAAATCAGTATATTAAATGCCTCTCCATGAACACGGTAAATTTTTCTTCTTATATGAGCATGTGGATAATAAACAAATAAAATTTATGATAGTCATGGCAGCCCATAAATCTATACGATGATCTGCTCCTAAATAATATTATCTTTATAACCGTGGTCAGATCCCTGCAAAATTATACACGGCATATGACCGATCGTAAAAGTCCGATTTTGTCACAAAACGAAACATATAATGGATATGATCAGTGGTCATTTGAAGATAATCGTTGGTCATTGGTGGAAAGCCTCTGCCTTGGTTAGATTCTACTGATTTATAAACCTGTAAAGGTAAATCTCTTTGATCTTTGGGGTATATTCTATGCCCGGAATAACTTGCGGTCTGAAAGTCGGGCGGCTTTGGATATATACAGGGAAATTTGGGGTTATTCTTCTGAAAGTTTTTCTTTAAACCTGTACCGGGTTATTCTTCCAGGGTAGGTTTTTTTCCATAAAAAAACATGATATAAGGTTTTTCTTACGGGAATTCTGGTATATTCTCATCTTGCGTACATGTAAACATAGACGGTTTATAAGCAAGATAAAGTGCTGGGGAAGAAAGACTTCAGAAAAAAAACCTCGACAGAAAAACCTCGTCCTGCAAAATTATACACCAGTTACCCCCCTTCCCAAGGATGACTGTGAACGTGTCTTTTTACACATTTTCAGAGTACTAAGGCACCCTAGTGGATTGAATTCCAGTCAGTTTGTTTGTTCTGACATATAATTAGTGGAATGCCCTCCACAACCCCACCAAGCAATTCTATGTCAGACCTGCAAAGACGTAGCTACACACGTTTTAGGGTGGTGTAGTTTTAAACATTATGTAAAATGACCACTTTAAGATCACTCACAAGCTCCACGCGATTCATTCATTCCCTAACGAATGCAGGATTTTAAGTCGACCACTAGGCCTTGACCAATATCAAATAAGGTCACAACATTTTGAGCGTTTTCAAATTAGGGTAAAACAATTTGTCGAAATATGACAAATTTTGCCCCGAAACAACAATATTGTTTTCACTACACCGGGAGACTTCTGTCGCCTAGGTGTCCTCATAGACAAAATATAATTGAAAATTACTGACACCCACTCTTCACTATTTATGACAGAATTACGTATTCCAATTCAAACTGTTATGCTATGAGTTGAGAATTGTGAGTTTGAAGCTATGTTTACTTGCGCAAAGCCTCGAAGACGTATCAGTCGGGGCTGTGGACAAGACAGACGATCGCTAGAATATTACAGCTAGATTTCTGCGAGAGTTTCCGGTGTAGTTTCCCCTTGTCGGTGATGCAGAGAGGAGGGCCTAGTCGTTGGGATGGAACGAAAAAAAGAAGTCACGTGTTCATGTAACAGAACCCTTGAAAATTGGTTTCCCCTTAACAGAGGGCCTGAGAAGGAACTACATCTAGTCATTCGAATGGGACGAAAACAGAAGCACATTAAAGAACCCATGACAGTATTCGAAATAAGAGTCCGGGCAAAATTTCCCTCATAACACACTGCATGGCGGTATGCCCGTCGTCATTAGCCCGTTTGGCATTATCATATACTTTTTTCAAAGTTGATTCAAATTTGTAACTTATGGTCTTCGACCGATATTATTGCTATACACTTATTCTGCGGTGCATAAAAATTAGACTGTAAACCCCATTTCATTTCATTTCAGTAAAGGAATTAATTTAAAATGGTTTAGAAAATTATTAGTAGCCGCATTCCATCTAGCCATAAAATTGAAACGGCTACGAGTTGCTCCCCTTTGTCTCTTATTTCCCTTTTCATTCAAATACATAGAAAATAATTTCCCAGCCAATGCTTATTCAGATTTCCAGCCCGCCCTCCAGTTGATCGGATTGCTAAAATATCAGTGCACGTTAAAAATCCCTTTGCAGCTAGAATTCCGGGTAAAATTCTTCTCATATACACTGTATAGAAAAAAACCATAACCGTACACAAGCATCAGAATGACCCCAGTTAAAATTAAAATGTTGATGAGACGTAAAACCCCAGTCTTATATATTTGTTTATATTTTTTATTGTGTTATTGTGAATCTATGGTAATTAATTTTCTGACTGAAAATACAATTTGAAAGATAATGATAAATAATCTTGAAAAATAAAGAAATAAAACAAAAATCCCGACAAATCTGTCATTTAAGTAAATTATGAATGAGAATATATTTTTTTTTGGTTTTATTCGTTGCATAGGTCCTAAATCCCGATCGATTTACATCCTAAAATAACTGACGAAATATAACTGATTATTTATTACAAATCTTAGTTAATTAGTATTGACAGTTTGCTACGCGTGAACACAACTAACTACAACGGATATACATACGGGGTTTTCCCACTTAGCCGGCAGGCTTTGATGTCAAATTTTGCCGCTAATCCAGAGTTAATCCTAGAACAATGGTGTTATAAACTATAGTCCATATCTTTTTTAAGACTAAATATTTATTAAATAACATTAAATGATTTACACATATAAAAATGCATTACAATTTACACATTTAACTTTTATTAAATAGCATTATATAATTTATAAATAAATGCTTTATAACATAACAATCATTTTACAGCCCCACTATTTGTTCCCTACCGATTTACACTTAAAGAGCCATTTAATAACTGTGTTTTCAAATGTTCAATTCTTGTATCAAGTTGTCGATATTTCTTAACTCGAGGCCATTTGGTACCACCAAATAATATCTGTGAAATGGTGATTTCAACATAGGATTGTTCTTGTTTTATTAAGTTAATGAACTTGTAAATATTAGGATGGCATGCTGTCATTTTATTCAACTTAGAATGCCTACCTTCTACGTGGTTCTTGAGTGACTACTTTTAAACAGACTATAGTTCTAAGATCAATCAAAGGATTAACAGTCTGCCGGCTAAGTTGGAACACACCATACATACATGTATTTAGAATGTAAGCCTATTACAAATAATACGATTATCTCATTAGATTTGGTATTAATTACACAACGTATTATCACATTAATCGTTAGTTTTAACAACCGGCCAGTTTGTGTATGTTTACATAGAGACGGGTGACATGTTGTATATAAGTTAATACTGTACCTATCATTAACATTGACTTTCTGTCATCTATTCCTACAGTTTTCTTCACTGTTAACCCTTTAACTTTACATCATGAGAGAAATCGTTCATATGCAAACTGGCCAATGTGGCAACCAGATCGGAGCAAAGGTAAGTTAATAAGCGAATCTGTATGATAATTTCTTACCAAAGGTTAACTATAGGAATGGATTTTTGTAATACTAATATACAATGGAGTTCACAGAAATAATATATAAGAAGTGGAAAGAAGTGGAATCAGGTGTTTGAGTATATCCTGCCTGGTGCACGACATCTTCAAAATTTAACATTATTATTTGTAAAGATGTCGTAAGCGAATTGTTTTACACACACCTTTACATGTATGGTCCTTTTCTTTTTTTCAGTTCTGGGAAGTAATCTCTGATGAACATGGTATTGACCCAACTGGAACTTACCACGGTGATTCTGATCTTCAGTTGGAGAGAATCAATGTTTATTATAATGAAGCTACAGGAGGAAAATATGTACCCAGAGCTGTTCTCGTCGATTTGGAACCTGGTACCATGGATTCTGTACGATCAGGACCATTTGGTCAAATCTTCCGTCCAGATAATTTTGTCTTTGGTCAATCTGGTGCTGGTAACAACTGGGCTAAAGGTCATTATACCGAGGGAGCTGAACTGGTTGACTCCGTTCTAGATGTGGTTCGTAAAGAGGCCGAAAGCTGTGATTGTCTACAGGGATTTCAACTTACCCATTCCCTTGGTGGTGGAACTGGTTCTGGTATGGGAACCCTCCTGATCAGTAAAATCCGTGAAGAATATCCAGATAGAATCATGAACACCTTCTCTGTCTGTCCTTCACCTAAGGTAAGAATATCCTTAATTTCACATCCTTTATAACTTCATGTTTCTTTGAAGGTAAGAAGGTTAGTTCATTTTTAAACGTTTTAGTGAATTGTAATAAAATGCAAAAGGTACAAGATAAATTTGAGAAATATCGTTGTATCAGATCAGTTAAATGTGATATAATATAAAATATATTTCGAACATGTAAAATGTATAGAATGCCAGATCCATTTGAGAAACATTAAGATTGTTTTGCTCTGTAATTTCAGGTATCAGATACAGTTGTTGAACCATACAACGCTACACTCTCAGTTCATCAACTAGTAGAAAATACAGATGAGACCTACTGTATTGATAACGAGGCTCTCTATGATATCTGTTTCCGAACCTTGAAACTGACAACACCCACTTACGGTGACCTCAATCATTTGGTGTCAGCTACCATGTCTGGTGTGACCACCTGTCTACGATTCCCTGGTCAACTGAATGCTGATCTTCGTAAACTGGCTGTCAACATGGTACCATTCCCACGTCTACATTTCTTTATGCCAGGTTTCGCCCCACTCACATCTCGTGGTTCCCAACAGTACCGAGCTCTAACTGTACCAGAACTAACCCAACAGATGTTTGATGCCAAGAACATGATGGCTGCATGTGATCCTCGTCATGGTCGTTACCTGACAGTAGCCACAATGTTCAGAGGTCGTATGTCCATGAAAGAGGTCGATGAACAGATGTTGAACGTTCAAAATAAAAACAGCAGTTACTTTGTTGAATGGATTCCCAACAATATCAAAACAGCTGTTTGTGATATTCCACCAAGAGGCCTGAAGATGTCAGGAACATTTATTGGTAACAGTACAGCCATCCAGGAACTGTTTAAGAGAATATCGGAACAATTTACAGCCATGTTCAGAAGAAAAGCTTTCCTCCATTGGTATACTGGTGAAGGTATGGATGAGATGGAATTTACAGAAGCTGAATCTAACATGAATGATCTGGTATCTGAATATCAACAATACCAGGATGCTACAGCTGAAGAGGAAGGGGAATTTGATGAAGAAGAGGGCGAAGGAGAAGAAGCGTAAAGAAAACATTAACGAAATACTAATAATTTATTAAATTTTGTTATCAATCCTTTATTTTTGTTCTTCATGACATATACATATTACATGTATGTACATTATTGAATAAAACGGTATATACTTTGCTATATCACTCTTTGTATCAAAACCCTAAGATGTGTTCTATGGCATACCAATTTCTCACAAAACAGGTTTTGTTGAATGTTTGTTTTTGTCTCCCGTTACATCAGATTTCGAACGTATCAGCACAAATGTCAGATCACACTAGTATTTTGTTTTGTCATATTTTCGAACTGTTATAAACATTCGGGAATTGTCGTATGTTTTATGAACTCCTCCGCATTTTGGATGTCTGGTACGGACATTGTGCTAAGATATTTGCATAAAGGCATTTTGATTGGTCAAACGAATGTTAGGCGGTTTCAGATTGTTCACCTTGATAATCGAAGCTACATTATCGTGGAATCACCATATTGAAAGCCATACACAAGATCTTCATATGGGTGGTATATGATTACAGATATATGATTAGCAATCATTTCCCTTTTCGTACGTCAGGTTTTCTCCCACTGCTAAAGACCCCTACGCGCAAGCGAATTAATGAAATAAAATTGAACCAATGTTAGTCCCGAAATAACCTAGTTTGTGTCAAGTGGACGTTAAACCCCATCTCTCTCTCTCTCTCTCCTTTTCGGACGGGGAGGGGCGGTGGATGGTCGAATGGTTTGTGCCCGCGCGCTGTATCATAAGGTCTGTGTTTTCGATTTCCCGACTGTACGTGACAAGGAGTAGGGTCGCCTGTCCAATCTCGTGGATTTTCTCCGGGTCCTCCGGTTTCTTGCTACTGCTAAAGACCCCTACGTGGTAGCAGATTACTGAAATAAAATTGAACCAATGTTAGTCCCGAAATGACCTAGTTCGAGTAAACGTTAAACCCATCTGTCTCTCTCTCTCTCTCCCTCTCTCTCTTCAGACCTTTTGTTGACCGTTTTGTCTAGAACCGAAGAAGTGAGTTTACATTTTTGGGCAAGTTTTGGAGAATATTCATAATTTTGAGACAGCAGGAGTCGAAGGTAGAGACAACATTTAAGCTATCTCAAATAGATTTTAAAAAAAAATCGAAATATCAAGGTAAAACAATGCTACAAAGAACTTGCATGATATTAACACTAAAGTGAATGGTAGAAGAATTCCCAAATATCGAACTTGATATTCAGTGACAAAAAATTGCTGAGTATGTTTCGTGTGGCGCATGTTTATCAAGCTAAAATATCACATGATCTTGTGGCATTAACTTAACCGTCGCTTGTAAATTGGTTGTTTGCGCACACACACGTTTTTTGATGTGGCGGCTAATAATTGCCATGCACTAGAACCGTTCACGTCTTGAGAAAAGCATAAAACTTTGGACAGGAGTAGTATGATACCTACAGTACATACAAATTTCCAAAATGGTCACCAAAATAACCTACATGTATTTTCGTTCAATTGTCCAATTTCTCTGCATTTCGCACAGGAAATCAAGTGTCTATACCCACAGGTTCGGTTAAATTACAACCGCCATATCTGACTTTTCGATGACCGCCACGTTTTAGATCACAATTACCATTTTCTAAAGATGACAAACAGGAAATACAAGGGAAGACATCTATTTTTTTCACGGACCTGCGTCGATATTCTATTTTTTTAAAAAAAATTGTTCGGGTTCTAAATAATATTACTTGTTCCGTTCTATGTCCAAATTATATTTTTTCATACATGCCTGAAATGTTTCGTTGAATCAGTCTAAAAGGTAGATTTAAAAATGTTTTCCCAACTAAAAACTGTGTGATATGAAACTAATTCATCTCTCAAAAATTAGCTTGAAATTCCCTTCAAAACATTTTAATCGCAAGGAACTACCGTGACTTGATTGAGAGAGGGTCCATTTGCTCACATTTGACATAAAAATCGAAACCTAAGTAGATTCACGGATTATCATCTACCATTTTCTTTGTCTACCGTTTAATCACCGAATCTGCTTTAGATTAAAGTCTCTCACTGTTACCCAAACCGTTAGCCATTCGATTAACAAGCCGACACACAGTTACATTTTTGTCGCGGGCGCGTCCCATAAGGGTTTTTAAGTATTTTTCTAGTAAGGTTGAATGCTTATATACTTTTATTGGAAATAACTACCCTGCACGTACTTTTGTGGGAATGCAGCTTTAAAGGAGCTAAATCTCTAACTCAATATTTTCACTAATATTTGAAATTTTTCAATATTGGTCCATTTCAATCAATATTGATGTTGTTATGTTGCTGTGAAAGTATTGAAGACACTATCTAAAAGTCGGTACACGGTGCCATTCGTAATGAAAAAAGAAAGCATATCCTACATTGCAATGCCGACGTCTGATTTACAAGTGAATAATTCATTAGAAATTTCAATAATTTCTTTTTAAAATGAATGTAAATCACTTGATATACACTCATATTGCATAGAGCCGTGTGTCCTTAAAATACAAATCAAAGTATTGGGTTAATGAACGCCATCTCAAATCGTTCAAATGTGTCAAAAATGAAAAATATATACTATTTAATGTAATGACTATTGTTATTTGTGTAATTAAGCTAAGTATAAAGGATATCCACGAACAATGGACTGACTTGTATCAAAAAGACAGAAGAACTATTATTACTTTATTTATAACTTTAATGTAAACTTCAATGACATGTAGTTATAACTTAAAGATACATTATGCGAGATTTATTGAAAATTTCAGTCAAATTACTTTATTCTGAACAAAGTTATCACCATTGTAATTTTTGACTAGAAATAGGAGTCAACTCCCTCTTCACCGTCACCGAGAATGGCCGATCGTTTGATTGACAGGCGTTAACTCCACCTACATAATCTCGATTATCAAGTAACGTTTTCAATGGTTGTTGTACCGTTAGCCTATTCGGTTTGAGACGGGGTTGCAATTCAATTCGTAACATGAAAACTACAAATTAAAAAATAAGACTTTTAATATATATATAAGAAGCAAAAGTTTGAAAGGAATGGACCAAATCAATGACGCACAATACACCCGACTTCTTGTTAGTCTACGTGTACTCTTGTACTGTAACTGGTAGGCCTACGTAACTCCGAAGCAGACAAATACTACTAGGAAACACTGATCCAATGGGGCTGCAATTCAACCGGGGTGATGCTAGCAGCGATGTTTATCAATTTCCATAATTTTTCTGTAAACGCAAGTGACAAAAGAGCGTATAATACCGACATCCAAACTCTCATTTTAACCACAACTAAACATAATATCAAGGCCGTATATATCGAACTTTCAATCAAATTGACTGACATGCGGCCTCGCTTCGTACACTCTATCATTTAGCCTCGATCTAAAATTTCCGGGAGTGTGACTTCAACGTAACGGTGAATCTCCGCTTACGACGCCATTTAAAAATTTAATCAATCAATGAAATCCTGTTTAAATCCAAGCCGAATCCAAGCCATCCGTGGGTCTACAGAGTTGATTTTGTGCTTGTTGTGTAAATAAAGATCTAATTTATAATGTCAATGACATCTGAAGCCTAAATAAAGACTTGCAATAATCAGATTTAGCTCTTGCATAATGTACGTTTAACTAGGAACAATTATCGGACCAAGTGCTAATTGGTGTCATTTTGATCGTATATGACCATTGTACTCGATAGCTATCTTTTATTCTGACATGTTGCGGCTGCAACACAAAATAATTGCTATTTCTACTTGCCAAATAATAAATTTGATATGTACCAGGAAAGTGTATAAGTCTGTAGACTTATAGCGTGTATAGATCTATGCAGGTTCAGATTAAACTTGCATAGAGCCCTTGGTTAAAAATGTCATTGGGGCCTTGCATCAACAGTGAAAAGGGAGGCATATGGCATATTCTGGTTATTATGTCACACTCACACAAATGCAATCTGTAGGTCAAAACAGATAGATTTATTTGGCACAAACAATATACAAAATAATAAATGACAAAACATAATATATACAGCATAATAAATGAAAAAAAACCCAAACATATATGACAAAACATATTATACAAAACATAATAAATGACATACAGTTATGGTACACATCAATTTTTAGAACTTATCGGGGGGAAGAGGGGGGGGGGGCGTGTCCGGGGGCTTTAATGTTTGGGGCTCCTGGCTGCAGCCATGTCCCCCCTTTAATCAAGCCCAGAATCAATGTATACAGTTTATTTTAAATTGAAAGAATGCTGCATTTGATATTATAGTAGGTTAGAAATTTAATAATTTTGACTATGGGCTACTATAATGAGATCAGCTTGTTATTTAATTTTGGTAATTGATTTAAACAATATTTTATTCAAATAAGATAAGTGTTGTATACATATACAATTCTGAAGGTAAGGATTCAAAAACAAGCCAAGGCTTATATTAATTCGTCTCCTTATATATTAAGTATACTACAAATACAACTGTGATATATACACTTCTCATACAAATACATTTAACGGTACAATATTTAATATTCACACTAATCGTGCATGCAAGTAATTTAACAGTTAGTGTCACTTACATTGCCTTACTATTTCATAATACGCTTGCCTTGCATCATGTTTTGTGGACGTCAGATGTATATTAACCGAAAAGTAATTAATTTAGATGGTATTTTACGATGGTTATTGTAGTCTTTTAGATAAATGTATAAATGTGTGGACTGTATTGAAAATGTGCGTATTTATTTATAAGGTATTATTGCTATCACCATTGGTTAACGTTTGTAAGTTAATAAAAATATTTGGTAATGTATTTATAGTTTGGAATCTAACATTGGTAAATTTTGGACAATATAATAAATAATGTTCCGTATCCTCTATGTAGTGGCCACATGAACATGCTGGGTTGTCCGTTAAGTGCATGACGAATTTATGGTAGTTTAAGTTACTTTTATTGTGACGCAGTTTTGTATGGATTATTTGAGAAGAACGCTTTCCGGTGTAAAAATATTTAGGTACTAATTTATCATCATTGGTTAACTGTGCTTTAAAAAGTTTTATACTAGGGCATGCTTTCATATGCTCGGGTAAATTATTCCAGTCTTT